CAGTTAAATGAGGGGAATTCAGAATTGGACAAATCTGTAATTAGGCAGTTATTGATGAGTTAATGGTTCATTAATGGGAGGAATTCAGTTTTGGACAGGTCTTGCAGTAATTGGTCAGTTTTTGATAAGTTAATGGTTAGTTAATTGGAGGAATTTAGTATTGGACAGGTCAGTTATTGGTTAGTTAATGGGAGGAATTCAGTATTGGACAGCTCAGTTCGGTCAGTTAATTGGAGGAATTCAGTATTGAACACCAGAAAGTATATATGCTGTAAATATTTTTTTTCATTGTCCTCATGTACCATGTACTTTAGATGGTTTGAGTGAATAAATGAACTTGAACTTGAACAGGTCAGTAATTGGTTAGTTAATGGGAGGAGTTCAGTATTTGACATTTCAGTAACTGGTTAAATAATGGAGAATAGAGCATTATTGGAGGAAATCAATATTGGACAGGTCAGTTATTGGTCAGTTAATGGTTAGTTAATTATAGTCTTAAAGTGTTAAGTCAAAGGAATCTAAGAATATTGTAAGGAAGTCTATACATCTTCAAACATCTTTTTTATCAGTTCAGGCGTATTGTTTACTGTTAGTTAATGAGAGGCATTCAGTATTGGACAGGTCAGTAATTGGCTAGTTAATAAAGAATTCAATGACAATGAATTGACAATGAATTTATTCTCATGAACTGACATAAGTACAGTGTTGAGAAAGATTACAAGTATAGTTAAACATATGTGCATGCGTGAAAAAGAAAAAAGTACAAAGTAACAAAACTAACAATGAGCTAACCAGGAGAGCCAACTCTCTCAAAAATAATTTTTATAAATTTACACAGCTTTGTCAATTTAACTGTATTTTTTGTATTAAAAAGTTGATCAAACTTATACACATTTGGATGTGAATAGTAATATTTTGATAATAATAATAACCTTGAATTCAAAATAAGTGAATCATTACAATTAAATAAGTAATGAAATTCATCACCAATTTCATTTTTGGAACACAATTTACAAATTCGGTTTTCTCTTGGTACATTATGCCATCTTCCAACTTCTATTGGTAATTTATTATTACAAGTTCTGAACTTACAAAATATTTTCCAGTACTTAAAAGGCAGAGATACTAAATACTTTTCTAGACAAAATGAAGTTTTGTATATTCTATAATTAAGACCTTTAGACCAGTTAAACATTTCACTATACCACTTCTGTTTAAACTGATCATACAGAGTGTTAAACACTATTTTCTTCAGCCATGATACATTTACAGGTTGACAAGTATGCCAAATATAAGAAAGTCCACATTCATTCAATATAGATTTGACAAAGTTACACCATGGATTATTGTAGTTCTTTAAAACACTTAACAAATTCGATGATAATTTATCCTTTTGTAAAAAAGATAGTTTACACCAAAAACTTATCATTCTAACCTTTATATTAATTGAAATAGGGTATCTACCTAATTCACCATATACCATAAAATTTGGTGTTGATGACTTTACATGCAAAATATGCTTACAAAATTTTAAGTGCAATTTTTCAATCAATGGTGACTGATTAAAACCCCACACTTCACATCCATATAAAATTATAGGATTTACAATTTTGTCAAACATATCCAATGTGCATTCTACATTAAGATTGTGTTTTCTACATTTGCCAATAACACTATACATAGCTTTTGTTGCTTTCTGAGATAATGATTTACAATTTTGTCAAACATATCCAATGTGCATTCTACATTAAGATTGTGTTTTCTACATTTGCCAATAACACTATACATAGCTTTTGTTGCTTTCTGAGATAATTCTTTGACATTTGTGTTAAATGAACCATTTTTACAAAAACTTACTCCTAAATATTTAAAATTATCTACGATTTCTAATGTTATTCCATTTAATGTAATTGGTTTTTCAATTCTTGGATTGCCCTTTCCAAAGATTACAATTTTAGTTTTATTGGTGTTAACTTTGAGATGCCATTGTTTGCAATATTTGTTAAATACATCCAATTGGTATTGTAAGTCTTCTGTGTTTCTGACAAAAGGATCGTGTCATCTGCGTATAGCAAAACAAACAATCGAAGATACAAATTAAACTCCGATTCTAATTTAGACGTTATAAATGATAAACCTTTTACATTATTTAAATTCATGAAATCTTCAAGGTCATTTAGATAGATGGCAAACAAAAAAGGGGATAGGTTTTCCCCTTGTCTAACACCTACAGTACAAGGAAAGGGATCAGAGTACAGACCATTTGAGACTACTCTTGATTTAATATTTTTATACAGCTGTGTTATAACATTAAAACATTTACCATCTATATTATTTAATAAAACTTTATTCCAAAGACCTAAACGCCAGACAGAGTCGAACGCTTTCTCAAAATCAATAAAGGCACAGTACAACCTTTTCCTATGATACTTAGATATTTCAATCAATGTATACAAAGTAAAAATGTGGTCCAAAGTAGAATAGTTTTTTCTAAAACCAGTTTGATTTTCTAAAATAAGATGGACAGTATTTGCATAATAATTAAGTCTCTCATTCAGAATAGATGTAAACAATTTACCCAAACAGCTTATCAAAGTAATGGGTCTATAGTTTTTGGGATCTTTAGTGTCACCTTTGTTTTTATATAATGGAATAATATTTCCAAATGTCCACTGAGAAGGTATGATTCCTGAATCAAAAATCTTGTTAAATAATATTACATAAAAGTTTGACATAGTATCTACAGTAGATTTTATATATTCATTAACAATGTTGTCATGTCCACTTGACTTATCATTTTTCAGAGCATGTATACATTTTGTAATTTCTTCATGTGTGATTGGTTGATTTATGCTGTTATTAAGTTCTAAATTTGACAACAATTTTAGTTCATCTTCAGTCAAAACATTTTCGTTTTCCCCCTCTACTCCAATGTTGCAACAATCTTTATAAAAATCATATAGTTTGGATAATTCTACATTACAGCATTTATTGTTACCATCAGAGTTTAATATTTTCCAATAGTCTTTTGGGTTATATGATCTTAAATATTGTAATTTCCTTTTCATATCTGTCCTATGAAAATTTCGAGCAGATTTTAATTTTCGTTTAAACAGCTTTTCCTTTTCATACAAATCTTCTTTAAAAATATTACCTCCAAATCGTTTAAACAGTTGTTGTGCTTTTTTAAAATTCCGTCTAGCAGATTTACAGTCTTTTGTGAACCATGGCTTTTTAAAGACACATTTTTTATTCTCCTGTGAAAAAGTGGCTTTTTTATAAACACCAAAAACTTCCTTAGCACTTCGAACTAAAACTTCACCAGCTTTTTCAACAATATTATCAATTAAATCTAAGGAAACTTCATTACAGTTTAAAAGTTCTTCTTCTAAACTTTTAATGCAACTAACTTTATTTTCAACACAGTTTTGATAAGTCAATTTTTCATTATTATTCCACCTTTTAGCCTTTTCTGATTGATCATTACAATTATATGGACTATTTTCTATATTAAAACTCATTGATTCAGGATGTATTCTTATTTTTAGTTCTATTGGATTATGTACATCTGAGTACAATGAAGAAAAAGCTAAAACAGACATTTCTGAAACTTGTTTGATAAAGTTAATATTTGCAATGCAGTAGTCTACTATACTACAGTTTTTGCAAGTAAATTCACCGTTTATATCAGTGTTACAACGTCCATTTAGAATGTAAATATTACAGTTTTTACATAAAGTTAACAGTTTTTTACCAAATTGGTTCAATGTTTTGTCTTTTGACTTTCTATCAACAGATAAACCATAATTTTCAAGTCTTGTTACATCACATGTATCACTAAGAAAAATATTTTCATCTATAATTATGTCATTTGAAAATAAATGATCATTGTTATGAGAATTAATGTTTTCAATATAATCCTTCTCCATAGCAACCCTACTATTAAAATCACCCATAAGACAAATGCTATCTAAACTATCAATTAGATTATTAGTTTCTTTTTCTATATCATCAAAAATATCGGTGGATGAAAAACGAGAATTTATAGGTGGGATATAAACAGTACCAATAATTACATCATTTTGAAAATTAAATGCTTTCCCCGATGGCCGATAGTTTTATCCATAGAACATGTTCACATTCATTCTCTATAACGGTAACATATTTAGAATAAATATCTCTAACATACACTACAATCCCACCTGATTTTTTCGATGACAATGAAAATCTATGTTTACAAAAGGCATTAAAGTTTTTAATTTCAATATCATCAGCATTGTCGGTTTTTGTTTCCGTTAAACATACAATATCGTTGTTGTTTATAAATTCAATAAATTCGGGGTTTTGTAATTTTGAATTAAGTCCACAAACATTTAAACTAATAATTTTCAAATTGTTGAGAGAGTTTGCATTGTTTACGTTTTGTACATGTAGTTCCTGTTTACACAGTTCTCCTTGGTTTTCCTAGTGCGCTTCCGCATATCTGAATTTTCTATGGGCTGTCGGCGGCGCGGCGCGGTTTTCAAATGCTGGGATTCGATCTCTTGAATGGTCGTTCTGAAATGGTACCAGTTGACCCTCCACGTAAAGCTTGTCGACGACTAGTGAAGCCCTTTTGCCCTGTCTTTTGGCAGCTTTGTATTGGGGGTATAATTGCTTACGTCGATCGTTAATTTCTTTCGGGAATTGTTCCTTAATTCCATATGGCTTGCCATTTAAGGATCCAGGGGCTGCTCGCCTGACTCTTTCTCGGTCCTTGTGCAGCACAAATTTGGCAATTATCGGTCGTGGTCGGGTTCCACCCTTCCTACCCATTCTATGCACCCGGTGGAAATCAATTTCGTCTGTGATATTCATCTCGGTCTTAATGAATTCTTTTATCAAATCCTCTGCGTCTTCTTCCTGAGTTTCTGCTATCCCATCAAATATCAGGTTGTCCCTCATTGACCGTGTCTGGAGCATTATTGGAGGAAATCAATATTGAACAGGTCAGTTTTTGGTTAGTTAAGGTAAGGTTTGCGTTAACAGGGAGATAACTCTTGCGAATCACCAAAGCGTTTGAAACAGGCAAATTTAAACTAGCGATGCTAAGCATCTCCGTGACGAATTTCCTCTGTCATACTTGATGTTTGATGTTAGGACTAAAAACGAAGGACGTTTTCAGGAGAAAGTCTTATAACAAATCAAAGCATAGGAATCTTAGAAGCCTTTGAGATTAGCGTGATGCATGTGGATCAACCAATAAAGGAGGACTTGTTTATTTTCGATACGAAACGTGGCAAGTTGCACGGCAATTCCTATCAGAAGAAAGTCATTGACACATTTAGTTTTTAAATTTTATTTGTAAATTTTTTTTTTCTCTCCTACTTTTTGATTTAATTTTAGAGGTCCGTTTGCGCAGGGCCAGCGTATAATCATCATGTTTGATGGAACGCTGTATAATGTAGATGTAGATGTAGAAGCATTGTGCTGATGTGTGTTTCTCGCTTCACCACTACACTAAAATTTTAAGTGAGAATGGGAAAGAAAAAAGAAAAGACCTGAGAGTATCCTGTAAAGTATTATGCTATATGCAGTCCGAACCGGGAAGAAAAGTCACGGTGCATTTGACCATGTCCAATCATGATGTTGACAGTTTGATTGTTGATAGTTTCATCAGGTAATAAATTATTTAACTATTCATTTAACTGAAAGTTATGAATGATCTACTGACTAAAAACGATGAATAAACGGTACAATGATGTCAAGATGTTACTAATATCCCAACATTGCCAAAAATTTTTAAAAATGCATTCATTCAAGAAATTATGAAAAATAAAATCCTTGCTGTTTAAGCCTCAGAACAGGTATACAATTGTTCAAGTTACCTTTTTAAATGAGGTTTGATTTTAATTAATATCCCATTTTCTAATTAATAAAAAGATATACAGATTGTGCATGACAAGAACAAGAAAGATCAAGCATTTGAATTTCACTTATTCAATCTGTAAATTTTACAATAATTTCATATTGATTCTTCATTCATTATATTGGAAATTTATTCATTTCATTGAGTGAATGAAACTCAGTGCAATTCCTTATGCTATTCAAAAAATGCAATTCCTTAAATGTTATTGTAAAAATGAACACATGTGATTTCAGATCATGGGTCATTAATTGGAATAGATAAGAACCAAAAAAGTACTTCAGTGTTTCCTAAAAAGATTTGTGCCATCATCCCATATCAGCTCAAGAATATTAAAGAAAGTTGGATGGATCAAGCTAAGATGTTGAACCAGACATGGCAAAATCAATGGAGATTTGGAGAAGAACTTCTGACTTGTTATACCCAATGCATATTTTTATATGTATAAATTATAGAAGAAAATTTAATGTTCAACAACATTTTTATCTAGTAAATACATGCTGTTTTCCATATATTTAGAAAAGATGTCTATCATTATCCGATGATTGCAGTTCATGCTCTGCTTGTCCATCTTTGAATTTGTTTTCAGTAAAATAAATGTATACTACATAAGTATTAATTGAAGGTTGCTTTTGTCTATACTTACATGTAACAAATTTCTTAAAAGGGTTTGTAAAATTGCAAGGAAATTAATACATGAACAATTAAAATTAATATTTTTATTCATTAAATTTTGTTCTAACTTAGACCTAATATGCTCAAATAAGTATTTCTTAAAACTGACGAGTTTTGTATATAAAGCTGCAATGAACATGTATAATTATATCTACTGTAACAGTTTAAAACATGACACTTGGCAATTGTAAGGTTGTTAATTTAGTAGGAATGATAAGACCAATTTAGCAATCTAATAAAATTAAATTTTTTTCACAAGTACATGAAGTTTATTTTAAAATTGTTTACATTTATAATCTTTTTATTTTTTTCATGTATTTTGATTTTAAAAAGCAGAAAATTTTGTTATATTTAAACTATTATTTCATGGATATCAAGGAAATATATCTATCACTGTAGCATTGTTTCTTTTTACCTGTTCTTGACAAATATTTATCATAATGACAGTGTTATGTCATTTTGCAGAATTTGCCTTTTCTCTGAAATCAGAAGTACTCTGTAAACTCATTATTAAAGTATGAATTGATGTCACTTAGAATCCATCTTTATTTTTTTCTGTCTGATATTTCAATTTAGATTCTAAGACTGTCTAATCCAATGATTGATTCTAAGACTGTCTAATCCAATGATTGAGCTGATGTCCATGAAGTGTAGAAATAGGCCATCTTTAAAAAATGTTTGGTTGTCGGCCTCTCCAGACCGACTGACTAAAATGACCAGACTGAAAACTTTTTTTTTTTCAATTTTCTTTTTATTCCTTTTATCCCCCTTAAAAAATGTTGTTGAAGATTTCCTCACCTACTGACCCAATAATTTTACCCTGAGTCAAGAGAGGGCAAACAAACATTACTTTAAAGATAGCATTTCTACTCTTCCAAGTAAAGAAATATTTTAATTATAGAAACAGCAGTTTTGTGAATGCAATGCTTACAACATTTCACTCAAAAAATGGCATACATGTATAATGACAGTCACCAACCATAACTGAATACGTAAAGATATTTTGCTACAAAGATGTCTAGAAGTTACTACATGTTGGAATAACTAATCAGCATGAGGTCAAATTCATAGGCTTTTAATTGGTTTAGTTGCAACATGTTCTGAAGTATGTTTACATACATATACATGTACTTCTAAAGGTGTTGCAGTATAATTCATGGACAATTTCATCAGAATATTCAGATGTAAAGATTGCCATAAATACTAGAGTTCTTCCATGGAATAAATTTTTAGACCATCTTGTAGCACAGGAAGAGTTTTATTTTGAATATTTTTGGTCAATTTATGCCTAAGAACAATATAAAAAATAACATTAGTCTTTAACATTCACCATGACAAGGTGACATCAATGTTGTCTTTAAAATTGTAGAAAAAGCCTGATTTTTATGTTCCGAACCCGTAATATAGCCCCTGTTTCCATGGAAATAATATTGGGGACATACATATTTTTTTAGTTTAAATTAATGAAAATGATCAAATTAATAAGTTCATGGATTTTGGTGGAATCGGTAGATATGTAAAACGTTGGTTTTTATATTTTTGTTGCCATGGCAACGGTTTCACTTTATTAAGGAAAATTGAAAAATCTTCTTTTTTACCCAAATTTTCACATTTCTGATAAAGGAAAATTAAACGTTTAAATAATAGAAGCATGAATTATACTAATTCCGGTCATTTTGATAATAAAAGTTTGATAATTTATAAAATAAATCAATTTTTTCAATGAAAATAATGTTCGAGGTGAAATATGAAATACGTTAAATTTGGCGTCTTTTACTCAAAAAATGAGACAGGCAATATCTTTGAAAATCATATTAAATAATGAAGCTAATTTTCCTGAATAAATTGATATATAGCATGTGTGCATATTAAAAAAATATGAGTTGGAGGGAGACGCAAACCTTACCTTAATTATAATCTTAAAGTCTGAAGTCAAAGGTATCTAAGAATATTGTAAGGAAGTCCATACGTATTAAAACGTCTTTTTTATCAGTTCAGGCGTTATGTATACTTGTATATATAAAATAAGATTTAATATTCTATATAAGTTTTATGCAGATTCATCCGTTGTGAGTTGATAATTTGAGCATGGCTCTTTTTTTTTTTTTGCTTTAGATGTATTTTTACGTAGTAAATGGTAGTAAATAATAATTTTCTTTCAAATGGTACCATCAAGAGTGCCTCGGTTGATAATTGTTTTCTTTGGAGGAAAACATTTAATAACAATATCAACTTCAACGGAATTCAGAAAGGTCCCCGTATAGCACCATCGCTCCATCCTCATTGCACCATCGATTTATCGAACTATCGACACAAACTTCGATTATGCGTTGGCGAGCAAGTGAACTACATGGCCCTGTCCGGATTCCATTACTTCATGTACATGCAATATTTGTATTTGTTGATCATGCAACTACATAAATTTTACTGAAACACGCATGCTCGACTGCATGGTAGGGAATTCTGGGAATTGGGAATGTAGTTAATCTGTACCAAATCAATTTCGTTTCTATATGATCTTAAGTTTCGTGTTCTATTGTCTAGGCAACGTTTTAATGTAATTTATATAAGATTAACATTTTTTCTTTTGATTTGAAGGTAATTCGGATACACACCTACTCCACCCAGAAGCGAGTGGTGGCTAAGGTAGAGAGGGGGTTGTCCGTGCTGGAGGGGCGGGAAATCAGTATCCCTGTGGACTATGGCATGAAGTTCTGTTCCCTGAAAGGCGGCAAGAAAAGTGAGTTGTGAACCAGCTTTACTGCTTTATGTCCCCTTTAATGCACAGTCTTACAGAAATACTGTCTATTACGATACGATTGACAAGAAATTTTTAAATCTTCATCTGGTTTGAGCACTGTCATATTACACAAATCCAACAGCATTCTGAGCAAATTATCGGATTTTTCAAACATTCATAAGATCATTATTGCAAGCCAATGGTTTTCAGACCCCTTTGCTCTCTACAAAGAGCAAAGCGTCTGTAAACCTTTGATTTGCGAAGATCAGGTTTAAGAGAAATATTGTGGAGGGGGCTTGTGTGTAGTTTATGCCTGACAACAAATCACATCTGGTAATTTTTTTTTCTTATCCAGGTGGCAGAGAACAAACTCTGAATGAAATTCTTGAGAAGCATTTACTTCCGGTGGAAGTGACGCCATCAGACTCGCACCAACTCATGAATATTCAAGGCCAGGAGAGAGAGACCGGAAAGAGTTGTCAGCTGAACCTGATCAGCACGTACGAGGACCGGTATCTCCTAGGCAACGCCGTGTCAGACGGTAAGAGCCCACATTTTCTTCATCTGTTTTTCCTGTTTCGCCTGACCTTCCCAAAATCATCTCTTATTTTGTAGCATTTACGGAAGATGGTGCGAAATATCTTACGTTTTTCCAGTTATTTTTCTTTTTGATAGCTAATTTAGAATAAATCGTAAAAATGATAAAGTCTGGAAAAGGTAAAATATTTCGGACTAATATAGAGAATTGCATACCTTTATGGGAATTTTGAACATATTTTACAGCCTTTGTATACATTTCGTAGTTATTAAATGTAATACCGGGTAAACATGTAATTGCGAAGGTGCCATGTTTTTTTGCATCATCATGTAATGTACTTGTATCTCTATTAAGATTAATTATGTTGTTCACCTGTATTAAGTTTTCCACTGTTGAACCTGTTGCTGTACTGTACAGAAGATCATAATGGGTTTTGGTTATTGTACAACAGCGTATATTGTTTGTACATAATAGTTTTTACCTCTGTATCTGAACAGTGTTGACCAATTCTCTGCGGTTGTAGGTATGTTATACGCTCAGCAGACCGCGGTACCCGTGTACCTGCCTGACCTGAGACTGTCTATAGCGGTGGGAATAGAGGGCTTCTCCGACGACCATTGGGTGGCCAGTCTCCAAAACATGGAACAGAAAGTCATACAAAACGTCAAATTCAACACAAACTTTGGAAACCCCAGTATGTTTTTAAGTCACATCATTACAGTGTTCAAATTAATGTACATTTACTTAAATGAATAAGGTATCATTGATAGCATTCCGAATCTATGAAACTCGGTAGAAAGACTGATTCACTCTAGGTATCTTTTATAAATTTATACAAAACTTCTTAAACACATTTCTTATCGACAGATGTGGCTGTGTATTCACAAGAGTCGGCTACACATAACGACTACTCCGATTTTACTTACCGAACTCCTGCTGAATATTATAACATGGACGATATCCTACGACAAAAACTTTCCCATCGCCCTTCTAGGCTTCTGAACTACATAGAACAAGTGCCCGACACGTACGATTTCATCCCGGCTGACGTTGTGAGCAGAGTGCCTCCGCCGAAAGCGCCAAAGCCGGTAACAGACAAGAAAGCCCAGCCTGTGAAACCTTTGACCCCGCCCCCGGCTTCACTTCCGGCCCCGGCAGTGCCACAGAGGCCCACAGTTTTTCAAAGGCCAGAAAAAAGTAAAACTGTTAATGAAGTTCCACCCAGTCCGAGTAGAGTATCACGCGCGCCTAATGTAGAGGAACTGAAGATTGCCGATTTAGGAGCGTGGATGAAGGAACTAAAACTGGATAAATATGTTGATACGTTTGCCGAGCAAGGAATCGACGGTGTTCTGCTGAAGGAAATGACAAGGGAAGATTTACGGAACGATTTCGGGATGTCAACCATTGAGGCCATTAAGTTATCTAAATTCGCTCAGACAGGGCATGTCCCGAGCTAGTGTCCTCTGTATCTAAACGTGTCTCGTCCATTAACGAAGTATTGAAGTGGTCGAAGGTTGTGTTTTTGCGATAAGTTTAATGAAGTTATTCATATATGAAAAATGAAACCAATATGAATTGATTCATTGATATATATACATTTTTTTTTCGATTTATCTAGCAATGTTAAACAAAGCGTAAAAAAAAATACAATAGAAGAAGTATGTTTGGCGCTTCCTAGAAAAAAAAATATTTGAATTATTGATAAATAATGCGCATTAAATTTTAATATTACATCTAATACTATTCTGAGAATTATCTTCTTGAGTATTGGAAACATTTACAAGGTTTGCTTATATTTATACTGTGGAGGATATGCAAATCTAATTTACATGTACGACAAAAGAAATGTTTTGTAAATTGTTCAAGATGTCTGAATTATAATCATAACTGTTTTATTTTCAAATATAATGCACTAATACTGCCTGATTTTATATAAAATATTTTTACAGTACATGAATGTTAGAAGGCCCATTTAAGAGCTATCTAAAATATTTATGAATTCAAGATTTTTTTTTTATTGTTACTGTTATGATAGGATGTTTTAACGAGTAGAAAGCTTCATATAATATATTTGTGCCAATTTTGACAATATATTTTTCTACATATTTTTAGATAAAATGTGTGCATGGTGTAATGAGAGAGAGAGAGAGAGAGAGAGAGAGAGAGAGAGAGAGAGAGAGCGAGCGAGTTTTAATTTGTTTATAATTGTAAATGAAAAAGGAAGAAATAAAAGGAGCTTCTTGGATCACTTGGTTGGTCGGCGTTTTTATATTCTGCTCAAGAACGACGGGGAATAAAGAGGATTCTCAATTGTTGAAAGATAGAGCCAAGTTAACCATCCTTTTTCAAAATTGGGTGGGATCATTTAAAATCTCACGAACAATACAGACAGGAAAAGCTGAAACTGATACGAAAGCTTTCCGAGGAAGACTCAATGTAGATTTTGAATTGTTCATGTCTTCGCGCCTTTGGGTGAGGTTGGGCCACAATAAGGATATCAAAGTTTTATATTTGAATATAAAGTATAAAAAATTGAATTACTAACCTCAAGAACCAATGAACCAGGAAACCGGAACTTGTGTAGATTTTGAATCGTTCATACATTGTAGCGTGAAGCCTTTCGGAAAGGGTTTTGCCACAATGAGAACATCAAAGTTTTACTTTTAAATATAAAGGAAACATGTTTCCAAATCTCGTTTCAAGAACCATTTGGCCAGAAAAACTGAAACTTGTGTGGATTTTGAATTTCTCATTGTCATATTGTATATAGCTTTACGCCTTTGGGGTAGGATAGCTTTACGCCTTTGGGGTAGGATTTGACTGCAACAAATACATCAAATGAAGTTTTATATTTTAAATATAAAGGAAAAAGTTTGCAAATATCATCTCAAAAACCACTTGGCCAGAATCTAAAACTCATGTGGAGATTTCCTTGCATTGTAAATTCTAATTTTTATTTAGATCATAACTCAATGGATAGGATAGGTTCACAAAAGGGTGATCAAGTTTTTACACTGAAATACAAATATTTTTAGGATTTTTTCCTACCCTCTCAAGAACCAGAGGGCTAGAAAAGCTGTTCAATGCTTCCAATGGTACATGTAGTCTTGATTCTTGACATTTTCGTCAGTATTTTGAGGTAACATTATAATTAAAGTCTCTAAGCGTTATATTATCAATGTCTACACTAGTATAATGTACAATTTATGTATATACAAAACAAGTTCCTTGATATTCACTGGTTATACGTAATAATCCTGTTACTTGTAATCACTTGAATCAGTATATTTACATGTACCACATCCTTTACTTCTGTATATGCAGTGTGAGATCAGCTCATCATGTGGAGAGTTGTGGTCCTTGTTTTTGTGTTGGCTCTTGGAGAACTAGCAGGTAAAACAAATGTCAGTGTTTGAAAAAAAGGACCGTTTCTTCATTCTCGTAGAGTTAATGGGCCTAATATTTGTATAATTATACAGTTTTTTCTAATTGTTTTGTACTGTTTGAATAATTTCTTTGGCTTGAAATTTGAAACACAACAGTTGTGAATAGGAAATATAAAGAAGCTGTGTTACAAAGCGAAATGTAATAACAACGCGAAATGTAATTAACCCAGATTATTACATTTTGTGTTATTACATTTTGCGTCGAAATCAACGCAAAATGTAATAACACAAAATGTAATTACGCAATTTTTAGATTACTACATTTTGCGTTATTACATTTTGCGTCGAGATCAACGCAAAATGTAATAACGTGCTTTTTTCTTGTTATATTTTGCGTTATTTTATTTTTGCACTGAAAAAAACGCAAAATGTAATAAAATAACATGTAATAAAACAAAATATTTTTTTGTTTTGGATTGCGTGCAACAAAAAAGATTATAAAATTGATTCAAATATATATACATGTAACCAACATAGGAAGCACGCTGTAAAAATATTTAGAACTAAAACAATGAGACCAACTTTAGGGCTTTAACGGACATAAGTACACCTAACTGTATCGTTTTTCTGACTCTGATTTTAGTTATACTGTATTGAATACACTGTACTTAATTATAAAGAATTAAATTACCTTTGATAGGCATTTTTTTGATAGTCTTGTTAAATTTCTAACCAATAACACATATCTAATTATCAAAGATTGACCATAGGTTCATTAAAAGCTCTACATATGCATGTTCGACATGTATATATTGGTTAACAAATTAGAAGTGTATGTGTGTGTCAAGCGAGGATGGCAGGGATAGGGTGGGGTGTTTACATCGTATGTTTATTACTATATTACTGTGGACATGAAGAAACAATCCAAATTTAATATTGAACAAAAAGATAGAGTATTTTGTTTTTTGCTTATCTGCAATGCTGGTGATTTGCATGGAACTGTATGGTATCATTTATTGTCAATAAACCCCTTCCCCCTATACATTTACAGCTGCCAGTACAAATGAATAGTTTTTTTCAGATTCATTGCATTTGTCCATATAAAAAAAAAGCAAAAGCACACTGGTCAATACCCCCAACAACCCTGCCTACAGATGCACGCTTCTGATTTGCAACATCTATAATTTGAATACATTTATTAAACTGATTTTAAGTACATGTAGCTAATTAAATCAATATATTGTTAATTGTAAGAAATTACATATACATTTATCAATTCTTTTTCCTTTTGATTTATTTTCTTTTCATCGGCACTACACTATTTAAAATTGTACTTAATCTGGCTGACGAAAAAAAATGTGTTATAACATTTTGCGTTCTTGCCCTTTGCTTAATCTCGACGCAAAATGTAACAACGCAAAATGTAATAATCCAAAAATAGTGTTATTATATTTTGCCTTATTACATTTTGCGTTAATCTCTACGCAAAATGTAATAACGCAAAATGTAATAATCCTCAAAAGTGTGTTGTTACATTTTGCGTTATTACATTCTGCGTTGATTTCGACGCAAAATGTAATAACGCAAAATGTAATTATCCAGGTTTATTACATTTCGCATTGTTATTACATTTTGCGTTGTAACAAAGCTGTAAGGAAGTTTTATTCAGTTTAAAGACAAAGATACCTCTTATCTTGTTCCAAGGGCTGTCATCACCAATCCAGAATAAATGAAACCAAATTTTAATGTACATATACATGATATATCATCTTAAACTTTTTTATTCAACTCTCAGTACAAATTCAATACTTATTTTTCCCGTGTGCTCGTTCAGAAATTCAAATCTCAATAAAGGAGAATTACTGTCAGAGAACTTGTATTTTTTTCTGTTCGTTTTCATGTACAGTACCTTCTAGTGCAGCTTACGGTCAGAGAGAGGAATCTGAAGGTCATTGCAAAACAAATGAAGATTGTGGGGCTGACTCTAAGAAATACCTGATACATAAACATGATAAACAAGGTAAGAGAAACATTTTTTACGGTAACAAATAACAATGCATGAACAAAGCATGCACATGTTTTGCCCCCACTAGATATAATATAGACATTGTACAATGGGGCTCAGGTTTCCAACATTTTAAACCCTTAAGTGCGAGTAAATCATGTCGATCGAAATAGCGACAATTTGAGAATTATTTGACGGACTAGGTCATTCACTTGTCACGAGCAGGGATGCTTGATAACAAGTCAAGATTTACAGCGGGATGTGAAGGATCCTTCTATAATGACAATATCCCTGAGAAACGGGCACCTGTTCCTATGTTTATTGTGTGCATCTGGAGAAACAAAGCGATCAGCAAAAATTATAAAACTTCATCGTATTGTTACAGGAACAATTTGATCTTAAACATTTTACTAAATAATTATTCATATATTGTAATTAATATAATTATTATTTAATTAATTTAATTATTATTTAATGTAGAAAGTAAATATAGACTGATGTGTTCAAATAATGATACTATACGATCAGAACATTAGGTCTTAGAACCATTATTTTGGCGAAAAATTACTGTCGCTAAAATGTCTTAGTTACGAGTGTTTAACCCAGCTATGAGTCAATCCTCATGATCCAGTTGATTAAATTTAATTAGATAAAAAAATAAGTTGCCACTATATATATTATGTAACCGGTAAAAGTACAAAGATCGGTTGATTGCAATAAAACTTGTCCTGGGGCCGCCCCTAGTTATATCAATTAAATCTGATGATGGGATCCTTTTAAATATATAATACTCACGTTAGATACTTAAAGCGTAATGGATTTTTTCAACTATATGATGAAGATTATTAATGCTAAAAAGCTTAAAGTATATCTAAATAATATACAGTATAATATTGATTATTGCAATACAATTTAACAACAATAATACAATTTAAAGAAACACGCACGCTAACTCGAGATTCCCGCCTACATTTTGGAACCATTTAATTCAATATGAATAGCAATTTGGCCATAAAATCTTTGTTTAATTCAAAGAACAGTTCAATGGTAATTGATAAATCAATTAATCAAAATACCAGCTCCAAACAGTAAATTATCCATAATTCCAGCTCTTGAGAAAAGGGGGGTAGACAATTTTTTCCATTGAAATCGGAGTTTCAAGCAACACCGTATTTTAAAATAGTCTTGGATATGATTAAATTTCCTTATAACTTTTCTTATGTTTTTGGCAAATTAATTTAACATAAATATTTCAATAAAATATAATGTTTCCGTTGTAATTGCTTTGAAATTGGTGGAAAATAAGCATTTTTATCGTTTTGTTTATTTTATCGTTATGTTTTAAAAATATTTTCCGTTTTCCATTGATTTCTATAGTGAAAAACACAAGTTTTACCAAAATTTTAGAGTTATCTCTCTTTGTTTTCCCAAATAAGTAATGTTTTATGAAAATTCATATAATTATCTATAAAAAATATAAAAAAAATCATCGAATATGTTAACTTTTGAAAATTGACTTGGAGGTAGGCGGGAGAACAATACTATCGTTCGCAGTTCTTTATGTGATGATTATAAAACAATTCATGATTTGATGACATGTTGGTTTTATTCTATTCTGCGTTTGTTTAATTTTCTCTACGTCATCGTTAGATATATAAATCAAGAGAATTACATTCTTACCTTTGGCGTAGAACCACAACAATTAATTCAATAAACTCAAACAACTTACAATATGACCCTTTACAACCATGTAAAATAAATGACAAGTTTCTATTTTAATTTTTTTTTTGTTTAATTTGAATACTTGATAAATTTAACCTATATTATCTCTTTTCCTGAATAGCTTATGTAAGAGAAAAAAAACAACGCTTAAATATAATCTTGAAAGTATACATTGTTCGTCTAAAATTTCTCTGATAAACACGTATTTGTTTCATTTAAACATATTAAAATAAACAACCTTTCCAGGATTTATGATCAATAAGTAAAACTCCAAAGAGAAGCTCAGTGATATAGGAAATAAAGTAATCAATTGATGTACTATCTTCTGATGGTTTAGGCAACAAGAGCAAACAAAATCTTAATGACATGCGCGTAACAAGACCTTTCCTTGGGTATCTAGATATTTGACCTCATGACCTTGGAGTTTGAACCACTTTTGCAAGAAAACAATAAAGATTGTGAAACACTGATTCCCCCTTGACAGCTTATGGCAAAGGTTGAATTTTCTCAAATGCATGTCAAACTCCATAGGTCGAGGTCAAAAGGTCAAAATTGTACTATATGTACCCAAAGGAAAGCCTTACCACAAGAAATACACCTATGAAATTTTTAAGCCTATTTCTAATTGTTTGAAAGTTATAGACTAGTTTAGATTTTTTTTTTAAGTGGGTCAAACTCTAAGGTCAAGGTAAAAAGATTAATAACATTTATACCCACTTAAAGGTTTTGTCACAAAGAATAGACCTGTGAAAAATGAATCCCCTAACACCAACAATTCAAAAGTTATAGCGAAGGATAAAGTTGGGGATATTTTTGCAAAAGTGGGTCAAGCTCAAAGGTCAAATTTAGTGGTACCCAAAGGAAGTTCTTGTCACATGGAATACATCTGAAAATGAAAGACATAGCCCCGCCTAATCAATCATAATGGACAAGGTTTAAGTTTTTGCAGACAAACAGATATCCAAACGGACAGACAGGACAAAAACTATAAATAAGACCCAAACATTGACCTTGGTTATAGCTTTTAAACTTCACATGTGTGTTATTTCTTGGGTATATATGAAAGACTCTAAGGTCCGATGGTGACGCCAAAGCCCGATGATCTCGCCAAACCCCGATGGTCTGCGCCAAAGCCCGATGGTTTGTTGTCGTCACGGACGCCAAAGTCCGATGGTCACGCCGAAGTCCGATGGCTCGTTTCCTATGAGACACATTGCGCTAAAGTGCGATGGTCTGACACGCCAAAGTCCGATGGTTCGGAGAAACAATCGATGTTTATGACGTCACAATAATTCGACAATCATCGATACCGTTTTCCTGCATTCATATGCCACCATTTCCGAATTTATCCTCGCATACGCTTTTATTTATTTTGTGTATTGCTTACATGTTTCAGAGATATTTGGATTAGTCCTCGCACACCACTCAACTGATTAGAGTCAGTCCTCTTAGTTTTATTGGTTTAGGGATAGTCATCGCACACTAGTCGATTTATTAGGGTTAGTATCGCACCCACCCATGATATCTAGGTATCTATATAGTTGTTATGCCTACACACTTTTTGAGCGATTAGGGTTAGTTTCGAACCTATCCGAGAGATAAGGGTTAATTTTTGCATAATGATAATTATTAATGCTAAAAAATCTTGGCATGGTGCGACATTGTAGTTTGCCGCATTAGTATTATGACGTCATAAACGTAAATTGTTTTCAGCACCATCGGGGTTTAGCGTGTCAAACCATTGGGGTCTTGCGTAGACCATCGGACTTTGGCGTGACCATCGGACTTTGGAGTCCCGTCGCACTTTGGAGTCCTACATATATACATGTATATTTGATCTTTGGAGCTTGACCTTAGAGATTTCTAAATTCTTGATTCATTGATTATGCTATTACTTGTTGGTATGAAGGACTATCTGAAAAATTAAAAAAAAATAGACTACAGGTTATACAGAACAAGATTATTAGATTTATTCTTGATGTTTCACCTAGATCAAGAGTAAGTGTTACTGAATTTGAAAAATTAGGTTTTTTGAACATTAGAAGTAAAGTGTGTCAGTTATGCCTCAATCACGTCTACAATATTTTTCATAATAAAGGTCCAAATTATATGTATAGCAATTTTAAGCGAAATGTGTCTAAAATTGTACAAGGTCAAGTCAAATTATTTTTTTGTGCCAAGGGTTCAAAAAATGGAGAGGCAAACATTTTTTTATAATAGTATTAAAGATTAGAATTCTCTTCGATCCTGACCAGATTAAAACAATTACGAGTAAATCAAAATTCAAAAAAGAGGTCAAAAAACATTTTATGGAGAAACTTAAGAAAAATGCAAAAGAGGATTTTTTATACTATTAGATTTATTACTCAATTGTTCTTTCTTCTTATACAATTAAGAACTTGTGTTTTAGATGCTTTTGCATAATAAGATTAAAATTTTAAGCCATCCAGTTTATAGCTAGTATACAATAGAATAGTATACAAACAATTTATTGTTTGGATTAAGTACTGTATATTATATGTCATATGCCAGTAATTTTGTTGTATGTAAAAGGACACTATTGGAAATAAGCCATAATGGCTTTCATGGGCTATCCTTGGGTTTAGGCATATTTAATATAATATATTTATTTGAATTATATGAATCGAAATTAAGATTTATTAGTCAATTTGTTTTATAACTTATCTCTTAAATTATGTATATTTATTTATAGATTTTTATATTGTGTAATACTCATACCTCAATGTTATTGCTCATTGCTCAATACCTATACCTGAATAAATATTATTATTATTATAATTATTATTATTATTATTATTATTATTATTATTATTATTATTATTATTATTATTGTTTTCAAATCTTCATTTTTTGTCATACAGCTTTTGAACAGTCAATGCTCTAAGTTTTCATATTTCACAAGTGCATTCCATATGAGATGAATTTCTCCTGGGTAAATCTTATTTTGACCTTATGACCTCGACCTTCACTGAGACAAGTCCTTTCTTTTGGTAACAACATTTTGATTCTTGACCTTGACTTCTGAGTATGACTTGCATTGAGAAATTTAAACTTCAACATAAGCTGCGATGGGTACATCAGTGTTTTTACAATCAATCTTGTTCTTTTATTTTAGACACGTGCTCAGGTCGTTGTGGGGCGGGTCATGACCCCAGTAAGACGTGTCAATGTAACACCCACTGTGGAACCTATGGAGACTGCTGTGCCGACTACCACGCCCTCTGTACACAACGTAAGTTACTGTAACACGTACGTCATTCATCTGTACATGTACATAGCGTAAGTTACCGTAACACGTACTCCATACATCTGTGCACAGCATAAGTTAGTTATATGTACTCCATACATCTGTACACAGTGTAAGTTACCATAACACGTACTTTATACATCTGTGTACTGCGTGAGTTACTGTAACACGTACTCCTTTCATCTGTACACAGCGTAAATTACTGTAACACGTACTCCATACATCTGTACACAGCGTAAATTACTGTAACACGTACTCCATACATCTGTACACAATGTAAGTTACTGTAACACGTACTCCATTCACCTGTACACAGCGTAAGTTACTGCAACTCGTTCTCCACACATCTGTTCACAGCGTAAGTTACCGTAACATGTACTTTATACATCTGTACACAGGGTAAGTTACCGTAACATGTACTTTATACATCTGTAGACAACGTAAGTTACTGTAAAACGTACTCCACACATCTGTACACAGCGTAAGTTACCGTTACACGTAATTCATACATCTATCTACAAATGTCGCAAGGTTGGACGTACACGAAAGCCTGTCCTCTTCTCAGAAGAGAATACTCCATATAAATATAATGACAGACACAAACCAACAGCAATAGTTTTTGGTATTCAAGTCCAGATAGATTTTTTTCATTAAATTTTGGTCGATATCTTAACTTTCAAATGAGCAATGAAGTAATAACACAAAAATTTGTTAAACATACATATCAGAAAAGGTAATCCCATTATAATACACTACCCTCTTTTTCAGAAACTTGTTCTGGAAGATGTAACGCTGCCCTAGACAACAGCAAACCCTGTCAATGTAACAGCGCATGCGTCAATTTCGGTGATTGTTGCCCAGATTATCAAACTCTGTGTGTTGGTAAGCCCTATACAAGTGTTTTTCTTTGATGCGATCGACACATTGAAGTTTCCTCCTATGTAAAGAAATGCTACACAAGAGGAGACAGCTCTTTTTCAAATTCATACCCATAAAAGTTAAGAAAAATAAACGGTATCTTTGATTATTAACTTTAAAATTACCATTTTGTTTCATTAGTTTCTTTTGAACATGTTGAAACAGTACCAAATAAATATATTCGCACGCTCAAAACTTTATTGAGTTGAATTTTTCAAAGTCCAATACCTCTTAAAAATATAAAGTTACATGATAGTTACAACGCGTATATTCATAGTTTGTTAACTACACTAAAATGACGCGGACATAAGACGAGACAATTCTAAATAATTAAATGATGTATAATTAGGAAAAAATGAGGATCAACAATATGTAGAGGTCTTAATTACTTTCAAATAATTCGATTTCTAACACTGAAGCAAGAACCAAACACTAGCTCTAGAGGCTTACTATAACTGCTAAACGTATTGTTACAGGAAGAATTTGATCTTAAACATTTTATTTAATAATTATTCATGTATTGTAATTAATATAATTATTATTTAATGAAGAAAGTTAATATTGTCTGATGTGTTTAAATAATAATACTACGATTAGAACCATTATTTTGGCGAAAAATTACTGTCGCTAAACTGTCTTAGTTACTAGTATTTAACCCAGCTACGAGTCAATCGAGTTGATCAAATTTTAATTAAATAAAAAATAAGTTGCCCTATATATATTATATAACCGGTAAAAGTACAAAGATCGGTTGATTGCAATAAAACTTGTCCTGGGTCCGCCCCTAGTTATTACCTCTGTAAATAAGACCACCAGACAGGTGCCTGTTTCTCTGTCTTTTCTCTCGTCATGTGGAGAGTGCTGGTTCTCGTCTTACTCACTCCCGGTGTTCTGTCAGGTAAATCAAATGTCAATTAAATCTAATGATGGGATCCTTTTAAATATATAATACACATGTTAGATATTTGAAGCGTAATGATTTTTTTAACTAT